TGTACGGCTACAGAAGCTATGTATGTGTAAAAAGATAGAGAAAGAAAAATAGAGGGAGTGGAAGAAGATGGAGAGGAGGAGGAAGAGGGAAGGGGTGATGGGGGGATAGGAAGGGGGAGAAGAGCAAGAGGAGAAGAAAAAGAAAGAGGAGGATGATGAGAATAAGAATAAGAAGGAGAAGCAGTAGTAGAAGTAGAAGAGAAGGAAGAAGAAGGATTAGGAGGATTAGGATGAACAGGTGACGGAGAAGGAGAAGGAAATGAAGATGGAGAAGACGGAGGAGGAGGAGTAGAAGGGGAAGGAGATGGAGGAAATGGAGGAGGAGTAGAAGAAGAAAAGGAAAAAAAAGAAAAGAAAAGAAAGGAGAGGAAGAGTATGTGGAGAAGGAGAAGAAAAAAGAAGTTGGTGGGAGTATGAGAGAGAGAGAGAGAGAGAGAGAGAAAGAAAGAAAGAAAGAAAGAAAGAAAGAAAGAAGAAAGAGAAAGAAAGAAAGAAAGAAAGAAAGAAAGAAAGAAAGAAAGACGTGAGGGAGGCGGGAACCGAAGAGAAGAGAGAAATATTATACTATTCTTTTGATCCAGTGCATATAAGCAATATGTATTTACCTTTCTAGATAATTCCGTTAATATGACACTAAACAACTGCCGAAAGGAAAACAAGAGGGAAAGAAAAAAGGCCTTAATGAAAACATTCCTCGCTTTGACTTAGGATCAATAAGCGAGTAAAAAAAGATAAAAGAATAGGTTGACTTTAATCTCTCTCTCTCTCACTCTCTCTCTCTTTCATTCTCTTGCTATCTCTCTTTTTCTCATTCTCTTTTTTGTTGTTGTTTAGTATTCTTAGGAACATTCTCAGGTCTATGAATGTCAACAAGACTTGAAAACTTGCCTCTGTGAGAAACACTTAAAGGGAAAGGATGTGATACAAGTTAATGTATAATGTAGTAGCGGAGACTAAGTTAAATAATAAACGGAGGAGGTAATATTTTTAACCGCATTTATCAGTTTGTTTCCTGGGTTGTCAGCACACCAAGCGAAAAGTTACTGACGGTTGCAACACAAATTTATAGGTGGGTTGGCCATGGCCCAGAAGCCAGCTGACTAGATCTATGCCGGATCCTGGATCTAGGGTCTAATTCGTCATAGAAAATGGGTTTGCTGCAAAGACCCTTTCTTAAAAAAAAAAAAAAAAAAAAAAAAACAAAGAAAAAGAAGCAGATTCCGTTTAGCATGAAGCAGGATTTTTTTTAGTGCTGTGCTAACAGAATTTCTGGATGTTTTCCAGTTATATGTGAGCAAAGGAAGAATTTAGATAGTCTTTGATTTAATGTTTATTCCACACACAAGCCCACGCCCACGCACACATACATACATACATATATATATATATATATATATATATATATATATATATATATATATATATATATATATATATATATATATATATATATATATATATATATATATAACACATATATATACACAAACTATATATATATGTGTGCACATTTATATAATTCCCTTCTTTAACAATCTCCATCGGGGAGTCGCTCACTCTATCAGCCACACGTTTAATCTCCACCTTATACGTCCTTTATTCCTGACCTTAGCTCCTCCTCAGCTGTGTCCTTCATCTTGACCCATTGTGTTGCTCGCCGGCATAATCACACACTCCTTCTTCCTGCCTTCCCAATATGGCTCCGCGGTCTTATCTCCAGAAAGTGAAGATTGGCACGTTAGTTGTAGCGCCAGAAACGTTTGCGCGGCGTTTGCTGGTGCTGCCGCTAGAGGGCAGGGCCGTTCCCGGTATGGATACGTGTTGGGAAGTTTCGCTTTTAATTTGGGTTTGTTTTGGTTTGAGTTCTGTGTAGTAATGATCATACTGATAATGGTGATGATGAAAAGAAAGAAGAAAACAGTTGTAATGTTAGTTTTATCGCTTAGATTTATGATAATCATTCATCGGTATTGTTATGATAATAACGACTGTTATCACCTCTTATATCGCCATGATCATCAACATCACCATTAAGATGACCCCATCATCACCACAATCAAAGCTTTTCCTGCGCTCAAAACCCAAACCCATAATTATTCACGTTGAAATGTCTGTATTAGATGACCAAACGTCCCGCACGCGCAAGTTATTCCAACCGGCGACCGCCTGATCCCCGCCCACGCCGCTCAGTGGCCGCCCACGAATCGGCTAATGAAACAAAAGAATCGCGTAAGGCGGGCTGGGTGAGGGTGTGGCGGAGCTCGTTAATGTGTGAAGGTCCTTTCCCGTCTCGCCGCCGTGTCCCGGGTTGACTTCGAGAAGAAAAAAACAAACATCGCCAGAATCTATTCATATGTGTGATTTTTTTTTATCTGATTTTTTTGTTTTAATGGATGTGATTCGTGTTCCGCCTGGTATTACCATAAATTTAAAAGCGGTAGACAAGGCGCGCACCGCGAGTTCAGCCTTCGGCGAATAAAATATTTAACGGCCATTATGGTTCTTGTTCGACGTTATATGGTGATGTATAGTTCGCCAGCAATTTAATTTTAGTAAAAG